AGTCCAGTTACAAAATAAATTCTAATGTCAGGTCCAAAATAAATGTCAGGTCTTATTTTAAATATTAAAATTAAATTAAAAAATGTAACTAAATAAAACAATAATTAATATTAAAACGATTAGATGTTAAAATGTAAATAAATTACATTAAAATGTCAACTAAATTATATTATATATATTCATTCATATATTTATTTTTAATTTAAATTGTTCTACTAAAACTGTCATTGTATACTATGAGCATTGTTGGCTCTATTAAAAATTGCTTGTGATGTTCCTCATTTGTAAATTGCTTTGGATAAACGAGTCTTCTAAATGGATAAATTAATAAATACAATAAATATTGTGTAAATAAAGTGTTTAAATTCAGCAATCTTATTTGTTACCATCAAATTGTATCATTTTTATCAGCATTATATTGGCTTCACTGCTCTCTAAATATCTGGATCACTATCGATCGATCACTACATACTAATTAAACAGATACAAACTGTACCTGCTCCGGTGTACATGCTGGGCATCATACCTCCGCCTCCTCTCATTCTACGATTCAGCATGGCCATCCGTTCAAAGTCCTATCAATAAAAAACAAATAAAAATGCAGATAGTAAGACCTCAGGCCAGCCCTCAGAGATAAAAGGCAATACAAGTAGATCTCAGAGTTAATAAGTGCCAAAGCTCTGCAATCTTTGCTGGCTTAATAAATGTTAACAGTATATCTGTGTAGCCTAGTGATAAGCACATGTGCTCTGACATGTTGAGCTGTGCTGCTCTTGCAGTTGACATGAGTTTGAGTGATGACTCGTGTTCCATCTCTATAAATGTAAAACAATATATTAAAATAAATGTATAAATAAAAAAATTTACAGTGGCATTTATTTTAAAGAAAGAAAGCACAAGCACACTTTTCATTTATAATTCACTAAAAATCAACAGATATATTGTTCTAAACAGATACGTTGCTGTAAAATAATGACTTTATTATTAATGGTGAATTTAAAGTAGTTGCCAGTTTGACTATAAACTGTACAATAATGTTTATATATTTGAACTGGATGATACTGACCGGAGGACCCTGATCAAACACAGAATCAAAGAGGTCATCAACGTAAGCATCCATCTGTCGACCTCGAGATCCTGAAAGAAAGATTGTTTCAGGAGTGTCCTTTATAAAGTCAGATTGAAACCATCATTTTATTTACTCTACAGGGTGAGCCACTTCCCAACCCTCATACTGTAGCTTTCATTCACTTTGATTTCTTTTATCGTGCCTCTGCAAAGCTATGCAACAGATCATGACTCAGAATTTTTCCTAGTAATGGTTGGACACTCACCCTGGGATGTGGAAGAGGGTTCATAGGTGTCCCATGGGGATGCTTCAAAGGAGGGGAAACCAGGGGCTTGCATAGAGGGAGCAGGTGGTATAAAGTCATCCAGGTCGGTGGTTACCATACTGAAAAAAAAGACATAATGGATTAAAAAAGAAGGACTTAAGCAGTAATTTCACAGTTTCCTTTTGAATGAACTGTCAGCACTGAGCTCTACAGAGGCGTACCTGTTGCCTGTGTTGCTAAAGAGGTAATCGGTTTGAGTGGGTGGGTGACCCAGAGGCACATCAGCCTCAACTCCAGCCAAGAGATCCATTACAAAATCACAGCCAGTCAGGTCGGTCCAGCCCTCCCCAGCCAGCAGAGACACAGACCAGCCCCGTGTAGCTTCTTTCAGACCCCTGAAAGAAAAAAAAAACATGACATTAAGAAGTATTGGTGAATCTCACAAAAATAACTAAATAGAATTAATTACATATTAAATAATTCTGTTGTATATATTGCAATTTTAAAATAAAATAAATTACTATTAAATATTGCACTTCATTTAAATGTATATTAGTTCAATTGATTTAAATGACAATTTACCGAATAAATAATTATTTAGTATATAATTACATGTAAGTTTATAGTAATCAGGGTTCCCACTCTTTCATGAACACCAGATTCAAGGACTT